GGGGACTCTAATGGCCTAGTGGTTAAGGAGTTGCACTGCTAATACAAAGGCAGATGGTTCAAATCTGCCAGCCACTCTGTAGGAGAAAAGATAGGCAGTCTCCCACATGATTTATAGTCTCTGAAAATCAGATGAAAGATCAGTTATGAATCAATTTCACCTCTTTGGCACCTAGCGACGTAACCATGTACACTTAAGTAGGCTACAGCAGAGTGTAGAGATAGCTTTTATACACCGAGAAAACCAAAGGACTAGTGTGGCTTGCTTCACTGTGACATGTTCTTTCCGGTGGTGATCTAGAACCCAGCCCAGCACTGCCTCAGAGCTCTGATAAAGCCTAACTTTAGCATCTCAATGAGTAGTCAGGAGGTCGGAGAGAAGCCCAATGCGAGCACAAGGCATCAGGCTCCTGAAGTTTTTCCTTCTCCTCCTTATTGGTGCGGGAGAAAGTAGCAGGGTAACTAATAAATCCAAAGTTGTTGTTATGTGCCGTCAAGTTGCCTGCAACTCATAGTGACCCTATGTACAACAGCCCTAAACTCTGCTCTATCCTGTGCCAATCTCACTGTCTGACACACCTACCCCCATTATCCCAGTTACTGAATTAACCCATTTCATAGTGTCTTCCTCTCCTGTGATGTCCCTCCACCCTCCCAAGCATGACGTCTTTCTCCAAGAACTGGTCCCTCCTTGCAACATGTCCAAAGTATGTCAGATGAAGCTTCAAGAATCTTTGCCTCCAAGGAGCAGCCTGGCCTCACCCTTTCCAGGACAAACCTGTTCGTTCTCTTAGCAGTCCATGGTGTATTCAACGTTCTTCTCCAACACCACAGCTCAAAGGCATCAATTCTCCTTCTATCCACCCTAGTCATTATCCAGCTCTCCGATGCATAGCAAGTGATTGCAAAGACCATGGCATGTATCAGGCAAACAGGCGCACCTTAGTCTCCAGACTGACACTGTTGCTCTTTAGTACTTTAGAGAGGTTTCTAACCACAGACTTTCCCATCACAATACATCTTTTCATCTCCTGGCTGCTGATGCCAACCAAGTGTGTTGATTGTCGAGCCAAGCAAACTAAAGACCTGGGTAAGGCAGGCAGAAATGTGTCAGAGAAGGAAAGTGTGAAATATTTTCCATGAAAACAAGCAACAAGTGGCGAGCCTGCACCCTTTCAAATGTGTTAAACTTGTGAAATCAGGAGAAACAAAACCATGCCACCATGGTCCAGCTCCCTCAGATTTCACTATAAATAAGACAGAAATTAGAAACTAATTTACAAACTCACTGTCATCAAGTCGATCCTGATTCATGGTGAGCATGCAAGGTAGACCAGAGAAGTCCTAGAAGGTTTCCAAGGTTGTAAGCCTTTACAGAAGCAAGCAGCGGCTGACTCATCCTTCTCCAGAGTCTGCAAGGTTCAAACCAGTGACGGTTCAGCCAGCAGCCAGGTGTTTTAACCACCATACCACCAGGGATCCTTCATAAACAACCCGTGTAAAAGCTCATCTTTCTGGTGCCTGAGGTAGTTTCAAATAAGGCACTTAATGAGATTCTCCCAAGGAGGAAGTGAAAGCGAGATAGCATCACTACCCACCATGAAATTGTTCACTTCTGATAGCCAGGTGCTCACAGTTTTAACATGTTCAAGGGTAGAATTCTCGCTTTGGACATGAGAGATCCAGGTTCAACTCAAAATCCTGGACTGATGCACCTCACATATAGATGTCAATGTCAGTCTGAGGACGAAAGTGCACCTGCTTCAGGCCATGGTCTTTTCCATTACTTGCTATGCATCTGAGAGCTGAACAATGAATGTGGTGTTGGAGAAGAACCCTGAATATCCCATGGATGGCCAAAAGAATAAACAGATATGTCTTGGGAAAGGTGCAGCCGGAGTGCTCCTTGGAGGCAAAGATAGCAAAGCTTCCTCTCTCATGCTTCGAACATGTTGCTAGGAGAGGGTATTCCTTGGAAAGGGATATCATGCTTAGAAAGACAGAGAGTCAGCAAAAGACAGCAAGACCCTCAATGAGATGGACTGACATAGTGACTGCAGCAATGGGCTCAAGTGTATCAGAGACAGCGAGTATGATGGCACAGTGTAGGATAAAATTCAGATCTGGTGTTCTTAGGGTCGCTATGAGTTGTACTCAACAACAATATCATCATCTGTCAATGGAGATCTGTGTGCTACTATGACAGTGAATAGATTTCATGGGAGTTCCCAGAAAGACAAAGAAGAAAGGCCTTGATCACAAGAGTTGGTCTTAGGAGATTGCGGGGATGGTGCAGGACAAGGCAGTATTTTGTTGTGTGTAGGATCATTACAAGGCAGGGCAGACTTTAGAACAACAAATACCTAGCGTATTGCTTAGAACCTAAGCCGGTGTGCTGAAGCTGATGGAGGCTGTATTTTCACTCTGGGAAGCAGTGGGGTACAGTAGAAAGAGACTGGATTTGGAGATCAGGCAGGCTGGTTTTTGTTTCCCAGTTAAAGATTCATACATACCACAGAAATTCTGTTTCTCTGATTAACATTGATACAAACTGTGTGATAACAGCAAGTTGTTAACCTCTCTGGAAGAAAGAACTTCACAGAGTTATGACAGGTAAGTGTAAAAATGTGTATAAAGTGGCCAGTCTCAAAAACTGGCAAACAACAAGCACTTAATAATAGTTTCATGCCGTTCTAGCCACTGCTCCAAGATACAAAGGTTTAACAACAGACTTTAGCGTCCTGATGTTGGCTAGCTGGTCAGAACATCCTCTCCTCAGACAAACTTCAAGAGTCAACAAGTTTGTACTCAATGCCCTTTTTCCTTTCTTAGAGAGCACAATGTTAAGCTAATTTCCACGGAAACAGTTCCTGTGCAGTTAGATGAGAACATTCTTCAGTCGCACTCCAGTTCGAAGATCTGTATTCTGCTCTGATATCTACCCAAACATGAAACTACTCTCAGGATTGTTTTCTTCTGATAATGACTGATGCATCCCCCTGTGTGATTGTTCTCACAACTTTACAAAGTTAACCTCATCTCCAAATTCTGAGGCAACTGGCTCAGCCTTCTAAAGTACTGTTAACAACCTCAAGCTCTAGTTTGATCCTGGATGGGCAATCTACTTCCATGCAATTTACAGCCTCTGAAAACCCACTTGAAGGGTCAGCTCTGTGTTATTTTGGACTCAATGGCAGTGAGTGAGTGAGTGAGTGATCTTCTAATGTGGTTGGTGAAATGGTCTATGCTCACTATGAGCCAAAAAATCCAATCTCACTAGTGCCATGAAAGAAAGGCCTTGTAAGCTCCTTCTGCAGAGATTAGGGCCACCAAAATCATTTGGAGCAATTGTGTTCTGCACCACCAGGTGGTGGCTTTAAATCAGACACAACTTGAGTGCAACAGATTTAGTTTGATGCAACTATCACCCACCTGTAGGGGAGGTCAGGTGCCCTAGGAGGTAAGGTGTTGTGCTGCCAACCCAAAGGCAGGCAGTTTGAGTCCATCAGCTACTCCAAGGGAGAAAGATGGGCAGTTTCATGCTGTGTAATTGACATCGCTGCAAGGTTAACTATAAATTGGATCTGACTTGGTGGCACATAATCACCACCCCCACCTTGATATATTTCAGCAGAACTTCCAAGACTAAGAGAGACTAGGAAAATAGTAGGCTTTGCAAACAGTCAATAAAAGCCCTATGGGTCACCAGAGCACAATGCTATGCGCTGGGCAAGTTCCTGGCAGCACATAGCAACACACCGACCTATCTGTACCATGAACGGTTTGATAAAGACCAAGATCTCCCATCCAATAAAATTGTCACTAGCTGCCATTTCCCCAGGGTGGCCAGCTGAGGGAAACTCGGGGCTGCTAATAGAGACTCAGGGGACACTGTACCCATCCTGTTCCCTTCCTAAGCTGCTCTGGTTTCTATGAAAAGATGAAGATCAAAGGGTTAAGTTAGTTTGCTACAACCAGGAGGAGGTAAGTAGGATCTTGTCCATAAAAAAGAGAAGTGGCTCTACTTTATGGAGGAGATAGTCACCATTGGAAGGCTTCCAAACGTTTATTATTTGAACCTGGGGAAGAGCTGCCCTGAAGACAAGCTTAGAAGAGCTTGCTGACGTAAAATTCCAGGCTGTGGTAACCCCATTTGGCCAAGGCATACGTTTATTTATTTATTGTTTTAACTGCTATAAGGTGGCAATTAAGAATAGGACTGAAGGTAAGGATTCCCCTTGAGTCTGTAGTTCTAAAAACAAGCCTGGGAAAGAGCGCTTCCATAAAAGATGCAACTCTTCTTAGAATTCAACTGAAAACTTCCCAAATTGCGGACAACACTTTAGCATCTCTACTGGTGGCTTCCGGCCCAGACCACAAAGGTTCCCTTTGCGGTGACAGGAATCGACACAAACAAAAACTAAAGAAGAGTCAAGTTTGCAAACGCTCCTTCCTTTTTTCTACTCCCTCTCTCGCCCAAGCTGATCCATCTAGGATCCGTGGGAAGGAACCTGGAACCACCAAACTGTTAAAAAACACTGCGCCGACCGCAAAATTAAATGAAAACTTGGAAAGCGCACAAATGTTCAGAGATACAAAGAGGTGGAGTGAGGGACAGACGCGGCAGCAGCGCACCGGATCTCTGTCTCCAAGTTATGCCCGCCTGGCCTTTGAGGACAGGGGGCTCCCAGCGTATGGCCGAGACAAAACCAGGTCCCTGCAGGCTAGACAGCCCGGCGAGGGGGTGAGAGTCACGGGTCCCCCTAGGAGGGTGCAGGAGGAAGGAAGGTAGGAGCCTGGGAGGCACGTTGGGCGGGACCGGAGCTGTCGCCTCGCGCCGCGCCCGGCCCGGGCCACCCCGGGGGTATCCAGATGTGCAGCGTGGAGTCACGAGGCAGCGCCAGGACTCAGTAGCCCGGGACCCAGCGGGGCTGCCATCCGAGCCTCTCGCCTTCCGCCCCGCTCGCCGCGCACTGGGTTCTGCGCGGGGCGCACACTCACCGGGAGCCACCAGCGGCGAGCTCGCGACGCCTCCCACCAACAGAGCCGCAGCGAGGACGGCGGAGCGCTGGAGACCTCGAGGAGCCATCGCCCGGTCCTCTTGCCGGCCTCACGCCGGGCACCCCAGTCCCGGATCCGGCAGTTAGTGCTGCGCTCGGACGGGCCCGCGCGCCGGCGGACAGACTGGAGGGGGGCCCGCCCCGCCCCCGCGCGCCTTCACACCGGCCCCCTCCAGCCCCGCCCAGCCCAGCCGACCCGACCCAGAGCTCCGCCCACCACGGCGCGAGGCCCGCCCCCTCGAGGCCCTGCCAGAACGGCTCCACCCACCTCGCCCTCGCCTCTCCCCGCCACTTCTGAAGCTCCTCCCATCCTGGCGCGTGGCCCACTCGGCCGCGGCCGCGCCCCTAAGAACCACTCACGGGATCAGGCCACGCCTGTCCCCAGCGCCTTGGAGCTCCGCCTACTCCGGCGTAAGGGCCAATCCTACGCGAGTCCTGCCCCTCTAATCCCGTTTATCTCAGCCTCGCCTCTCTCGGCCCCTCCTGAGGCTCCGCCCACCCTGCTGGAGAGAGGGCCCAGCCCAGTACCTCTGCCGAACTGCGCCATTTCAAAGGTTCCGCCCGTCCTGGCCCCGCCCTGGTCCCCCACACCCTACTGTGATCTTGACCTGGCTTTACCTCTCTCGGCAGCTCCCGGTGTCCCGCCCACTCCGGCCTGGCCCCACCCTCCCGCTGCGCCCCCTTCCTTTCCTTTCCCTGCTCCACTGCTGCCGACAGGATTGCGCGGGAGCCCGGGGCGGAGGCGCGGGAGGTGCGGGGCGGCTCCTTCCCAGGATCTGGAGCGAGGCACGCGTGGGCTGACCGAAAGTGAGCGCCGGGCTGGAAGCGCCAGACCTGCTGACACCGGCAGCCTGGGCGAGCACTTTGCATTAGTGTCTCGATCCAGCTGGCACTCCCCTCCATGACTAGTCCTAGGAGGGGCGCCACTCTGGACTTCATAATTCAGCTGTTTGAAAAATTGAGGAGAAACAATGAATCGCTTGAAAATTCTTCCTACATCTGTTTCCATTTAAATTGTTCCTCATAATTCCAATTAAAGAGACCCAAAGTCAGGTGGCTTGAATCTACCACCTGCTGTGCAGAAGAAAATGTCCTAGCTCAGTTGCAGGAATCTACCTCCTATCCTGCGACTCCAGGAGAAGGAACAGTGCTACAAGCTCTTTTGGAGAAGCAAGGAGGATTTGATTGTCCGCGGGAGTGCGGACAGAGAGATCACAGTTTCTTAAGGATCCAGCTGCCCCATTTCAAAATGTCCCCTCTTTATATGAGCTTATAAAGTGGTGGTTGGGGGTCTTTTTTTTTTATTGGCTAGTTTTTGTGGATCACAACAAATTATGGCTAATCTTGAGGAGAATGGGAAGCCCAGAACTCTTGATTGTGTTCGTGCAAAACCTATACTCACACCAGAAATCAGTCCTCAGAACAGAGCAAGAAAACACTGAATCGTTCTAAAGCTAAATAGGAGTGTGTCAAGGATGAGTCCTGTCTTCATACCTTCTTCAATCTATGTGCAGAACGGATCATTTGGGAGGCTGGGCTTTATGAGGAGGAATGTGGCATCAGTACTGGGGGAAGACTCATCAACAACCTGCAGTTATGCAGATAACACAACCTTGCTTGCTTACTGAAGCCCAGGAGGACCTGAAGCACTTGCTGCAGAAGGTCAAGGACTGTAGTCTTCAATATGGATTGAAGCTCAACATCAAGAAAACAAAGATTCTCACCACCAGCCCAACTGGCAGCACCATGATAGATGGAGAAGAGATTAAGGTTAACAGTTACAGTTTGCTTGGTTCCACAAACCATACTCTTGGCAACAGCAGGCAGGAGATCAAAAGATGAATTGCACTGGGAAAATCGTCTGTCTGGGACCTCTCCAGAGTACTGAGAAGCAATGAAGTCAGTCTAAAGACTAAGGTACACCTGATCCAGGCCATGGTCTTCACAACTACTTACTATGACTCAGAGAGCCAAAGAATTAATGTCTTTGAGCTGTGGTATTGGAAGAGTCTTGAACATACCATGGACGGCCAAGAAACAAATAGGTCTGCCTTGGAGAGGGTGAAACGAGGATTCTCCTTGGAAGCTAGTATTTTGAAGCTCTGTCTCACATATTTGGGCACGTGCCCAGGAAGGACCAGTCCTTGGAGAAAGACATCATAGAAGGGTAGAAGGACAGCACAGGAAAGGAAGAGCCCAGATGAGATGGTTTGACACAGTAACTAGGGCATGGGGGAGGTGTGTTGATATCAGTGAGACTGGCTAAGGCTTCAGAGCTACTGTTATACAAAGGGTCGCTATGAGGCCAAGGCAACTCAATGGCACATAACAACAACAGTTTTCATGTACATTATAATTGGTTAGTTAAATTTTTTGGGGAAAGGGGCTTTAAGTCAGTTGAGTAGACAAGGAGAAAGATCATAGGTTAATTAAAATTCATTCATTTGGTTGCTGGGCAGCCAACTTCCAGCAGCTAGACTGGGTTTCTGTTATTTATTTCTGACCTTATATCTACCTTATCTGGTTAGAGCTATTCACCTGCCACTGTTCCTGGGGGGTCGAGTCGGCTAAACAGCTTTCCTATATTCATTTAGTTTGTGTCTTCTTAGACCTGGGCCTGCATTAAAGAGCTTTTCTATGTTTGCTTAGTTTGTGTCTTCTTGGGCCTGGGCCTGCCTCATCTCCTCCCTTGCCTTTGAAACCCTGCTGGAGAGCCAGCTATGACTGCAGTTAGTTGAGCTGGTTAGTTTAAAGGAGTCTCAATGATATTCTATGTCAGGCTGCTAGCCAAAAGATCTGAGGTTCGACTGCACCAGAAGGGCACTCCAAGGTAGAAAGGTAGTTTCTTCTCATAGATTCACAGACTTGGAGACCAGATACAGGGTTGAAATCCATTCAATAATATAGGATTGTTGTTGTTATGTGCTGTTAAGTTGCTTGCTCATAATGACCCTATGTGCAAGAGCCCTAAACCCTGCTCTATCCTGTACCAACTTCATTGTCTCTGACATACCTACTCCCACTATCTCAATCACTGAATCAATCCATCTCATCAAGGGTCTTCCTCTCCTGTGCTGACCCTCCACTCTCCCAAACATGATGTCCCTCTCCAATGACAGATCCCTCCTTGCAACATGGTCAAAATATGTCAGACTAAGCTTCAGAATCCTTGACTCCAAGAAGCAGCCCGGCTTCACCCTCTCCAGGACAAATATGTTTGTTCTCCTAACAGTCCATGATATATTCAATACTCTTCTCCAGCACTCCAGTTCAAAGGCATCAATTCTATTTCTGTCATCTCTAGTCACTGTCCACCTGTCCAAATCAGGCCGAACCTTAGCCTCCAGCCTGACGTCGTTGCTCTTCAGTACTCGGGAGAGGTCCCTGACAGCTGACTTTCCTAATACAATTCGTCTCTTGATTTCCTGGCTGCTGGTACAAAGAGTGTTGACAGTGGAGCCAAGCAAACTAAAACTGTTAACTATCTCCATCTCTTCACCATCCACTGATGCTGCCAATTGTCCCAGTGGTGAGAATCTTTGTTTTCTTGATGTTGAGCTTCAATCTGTATTGAAGGCTGCAGTCCTTGACCTTCTGCAGCAAGCAACTCAGGTCCTCCTCAGTTTCAGCAAGTAGGGTTGTGTCACAACCTAGAAATCTCTGTAAGATGGTCCTACTTTGTCACATGGGGTTGCAAGTGTTGAAAATCCTGTCCATGGTACGCAAAAACTGGGCCAAGTACTTCCACATTATCTCTAGAAACAGCTTGTTTTGTTTTGTTTTTATGTTCTTACATAGAACCTTGCAAATAGTCTAGCAAAGTAGTTCTTCAAAGTGCTCAGTCACTTCATCCAAACAAACAATTAAAAAAATCGTTGCCATGGATCCTATTTGCTACCCTGTGGGACAGACAGAATAGATAGAAACCCATAGAGTTTCTGAGGCTGTGGTCGCCATGGAAGCAGAAAGCAGACAGGCCCATCCATCAGTTTCCAGCTGGGCCGCTTTAAGGTAGTGTCAACTGCTGTAACCACAGTGCTACCAGGGATCCTGGCCCTGTCTCTTTGTTGTTAAGTGCCCATCTGTAAGTTTTGACTCACAGGACCCTGTACACTACAAAATGAAACACTGTCTGGTCCTGTGTCACCCTCGGCGTTGCTGTGTTTGAGCCCTTTGTTGCAGCCACAGTCAATGCATCTCCTGGGGGCTCTTCCCCTTTTGCTGACCCTTCTGCTGTACATGCTGTCTTCCTCCAGGGACAGGCTCCTCCCAATGACGTGCATCTGCTTGGTGAGATAAGTGTTACCGTCCCCATTCACAGGACAGGAAATAGACCGAGGAAGGCTGTGACGCCGTGGTATACTGGAATTAGCTCGTTGTCACTGTGCTTGCTTGCCACCATATCCTCAGGCCCTGGCACCAAGGGAGAGGACAGAAGCATGCTTTAAAGTGAATTAGCATCACAAGCGCTGATAGCATTTAGAATCTGAGTCTGTGAGTTACCTCCTTAATCATCTTTAAAGACTCCTGAAGCAGGGAAGTCCAAGTTTGTACAAATGAATCCTCAAGAAAGCAAGGAAGGAAGGGCACAGATTTTAAGAGCAGGGTCCTTCCTGTCTGACAATCATCTTTAAGGGAGATCTGTGTATTTTCTCAGGAGTCCTCTCTGGAGCCTATGAAACAAGCGTTTGCCCTGATGCGGGAACTGTGCACGACAGAAGCCCCTCCAGATGGCTGAGGAGGAAGACTGGAAGCTCTGCCCTTTGAAGACTGGACCCACTGCAAGTCTGGCAGGCTGGCCAGCAACCCTTCCTAGTTTGAGGCAACAAAACAGAATAGGGACAGAGGAAAGAAGTCCCACCACTTGTTGTTCTTGCTGTTAGGTGCTGTCGCACACGACTCATAGCAACACTATGAACAATAGATCTGAGTCCTCTCCTATCTTGAACCAGCCTCACCATCTCTGACATACTTGAGCCCATTGCTGCAGGCATGGTGTCAAACCAGGTCATTGAGGATTTTATGCAAC